AACTAAACCCAAGGTAGCAGAAAGAGAGTAATTATAAAGATTAGAGCAGAAATAAACAAAATGGAAAGGCAATATAGAAAATCAACTAAGCGAATACTTGGTTTATTGAAAAGATCAACAATAATGACAAAACTTTGACTAGGCTAATCCAAAAAGTAAAAAAATGTAAATAAAAATTAGAAATGAAAGAGTAGACATGACAACTGATGCCACAAAAACCAAAAGGATTGTTAGAGAATAATGTGGACAATTATGTGCCAACAAACTGAATAATTTAGAAAAAATAGATAAAATTCTAGAAATACGTGACATACCAACAATCAATTATGGAAAAACAAAAAATACAGACAGACATAGAACTAGTAAGGAAATTGAATCATTAATAAATTTTTCACATAAAAGAAGAGCCCACAACCAGATGGTTTTCCTGTAGAGCTTTACCAAGCATTTAAAGAAGTATTAGCACTGATCCTTCTCAGATTCTTTAAAAAAAATTTGATGAGGGGAAAGCAGTTTCCAATTTGAGGTGAACATTACCCAGATATGAAAACCAGACAAAGATACTACAAAAAAATTAAACTACAAACCAGTACTCCTGATGAACATGAATGCAAAAGTTCTCAAAAAGATACTAAAAAACTGAATTCAACTACCAATTTAAAAGATTATACACCATGATCAATTGTGACTTACTCCTGAAATGCAAGGATGGTTCAACATGAAAAAAAATCTATCCATGTAATTAACACACCACAGTAACAGAATGGCAGAAAAAAAAAATCCCACATAGTCACCTCAATTGATGAAGAAAAAAGCATTTGCCAAATTCAATACGTTTTCACAATTTAAAATATAATACATTTTACAAACTAGGAACAGAAGGAAATTATCTCAACATAATAAAGGTAATTCATATATAAAAAGCCCACAGCTAACCCTAGACTGAATGATGGAGAACTGAAAGCTTTTCCTCTAAGATTAGGAATAAGGCAAGGATGCCCACTCTCAAGTCCTCTATTCAACATGCAACCAAAAGTTATAGCTGGAAGCAATTAGGCAAGACTAAGAAATAAAAGTCACCCAAATTCAAAAGAAGAAGTAAAATTATCTTTGTTTGCAGATATGAGCTTGTGTGTAGAGAACTCTAAAGTTTAAACACACACAAAAATGTTAAAACTAATAAACAAGTCTAAGGGAGTTGCAGAATAGACAACATAAAAAATCAGTTGTTTCTATCCATTAACAATAAAAAAGGAAAACAATTTTATTTATAATAGCATCAAAAAGAATAATTAGGAATAATCTAACCCAAAAAGTTAAAAGTCTTTACACTGAAAACTAGAAAACATCATTGAGAAATTAAAGATGAAACAAATAAATGGAAAGACATTCCATGCTAATGTATTGGAAGAATTAATGTTAAAATGTCCATACTAAGCAATGCAATCTATAGGTTCAATGCAATCCCTATCAAAATCTCAATGGTATTATGTTGCAGAAATAGAAAATCTATTCTGAAATTCATATAGAACCTCAACTAATTCTGAATAGTCAAAAAATTCTTGAGAAAGAAAAACAGAGTGGGGCTTTACACTTTCTGAACTCAAGATATACTACAAAGCTGCAGTAATCAAAACAACGTGGTACTGGCATTAATTCAGACACACAGAACAATGAAACAGAATAATCCTAAAATTAACCCTCAATATGTGATGAAATTATTTTAAACAAACTTGTTAAGGTTATACAATAGGGAAAGAATAATCTTCTCTTCCATTAATTGTATTGGAAAAACTGGATATCCTCATGCAAAAGAATGTTGGACACTTATCTGATATTATGTGCAGAAATTGACTCAAAACAAATTAAATTCCTAAACATTAGACTTGAACTGTAAAAAATCCTAGCAGAAAACTTAGAGAAAACTCTTTATGACTCTGAATTTGGCAATTATTTCCTGAATAGGACACCAAAAACACAGGCATTAGAAGCAAAAATAGACTTGACTACAGAAGAATTAAAATTTTTGTAAAATAAATAAAATGATCAACAGAGTGAAACAGCAACTTTTTAAATGGGAACAAATATTTTCAAACCATATGTCTGATAATACGTAAATAGCCAGAGTATCTAAAGAATTCTTACAACTCAACAACAGCAAAATAAATAACCAGATTTAAAACTGGATAGAAGACTTGAATAGACATGTCTTCAAAGAAAATATGCAAATGGTCAATAAATATGTGAAAAGACGCTTAGCATTACCGATTATCAGGGAAATTCAAATCAAAACCACAGTGAGTTATCACCTGACAACCATTAGAATGGCCACTACCAAAACCAAAACAAAACGAAGTAAAAAACAGAAAATAAGAAGTGCTGGTGAGGATATGCAGAAATTGGAACCTTTGCCTCTGTTACTTAGAGTGTAAAATGATGTAGCTGCTATGGAAAACAGTATGGTCATTCTTCAAAAAACTAAAAATAGAATTATCATATGATCCAGGAATCCCACTTCTGAGTGTATATCCAAAATAACTGAAAGCAGAGTTGTGAAAGGTATTTGTACACTCATGTTCATTGCAGCATTATTCACAATAACAAAGAATAACCAACCTAAATGCTCACTGTTCAAGGTTTGAATAAAGGTTGAATAAAGAAAATGTGGTATATGCATACAAAGGAATGTTATTCAATCTCACATAGGAATGAAATTTTGTCATATTCTACAACACAGATGAGTCTTAAGAACATTATGCTAAGTGAAATAAGCTAATCACAGAAAGAACAATACTGGATTATTCCAAGTGCACAAGGTGACTAAAGTGGTCAAATTCTTATAAACATAAAGTACAATGGTGTTTGCCAGGGGGTGACTCTGAGGAAAACAGGGAATAGTTTAAGGGTATAGAATTTCCATTTTGCAATATCAAAAGTTTCTAGAGATATGTTACACACTAACGTACATAGACTTAAGACTACTCTTCTGAACACTTAAAATGGTAAAGATGGTAAATTTTATGTTATGTGTTATTTCCCACAATAAAAAATATGCTCACTTTGGAAATAAATTTCGCAATTTATTTATATTTATTTATTTATTTTTGAAACCAGGTCTTACTCTGTCACCCAGGCTGGAGTACAGTGGCATGATCTCAGTTCACTGCATCCTCAGCCTACCAGGCTCAAGCCATCCTCCCACCTCAGCCTCCCAAGTAGCTGGAACCACAGGCACATGCCACCATGCCTGGTGAATTTTATTTTATTTTATATTATTTTTTTGGTAGAGACGGCATTTTAACATGTTGTTCAGGTTGGTCTTGAGCTCCTGAGCTTAGATGATCTGCCAGCCTCGGCTTCTCAAAATGTTGGGATTATAGACATGGGCCACTGCACCTCTCTAAATTTGGCAATTTATTAACAAGTTAATTATACATCTATATAGTCACTCAGCAATTCCATTCTTAGGTATTTATTGTACTAAAATAAAATTATAAAACTGCCAAAACCCTTATACAAGAAGCTTCCAGTGATAGGATTGCTGGGTCAAATGGTATATACTCGAAATATATAAATCATTCTATTATAAAGACACATGCATGCGTACGTTCATTGCAGCACTATTCACAATAGTAAAGACATGGAATCAACCTAAATGCCCTTCAGTGATATAATGGATAACAAAAATGTACATATACACCATGAAATACTATGCCACCATAATAAAAGAATGAGATCATGTCCACTGCAGGGACATGAATGGATGGAGCTGGAGGCCATTATCCTTAGCAAACTAACACAGGAACAGAAAATCAAATACTTCACATTCTCACTTATAAGTGAGAGCAATATGATGAGAACACATAGACAAATAGAGGGGAACCACACACACTGTGGCCTTTCGGTGGGATGTAGGGTTGGAGGAGGGACAAGATCAGGATAAGTAACTAATGGTCACTAAGCTTAATAACTGGTTTGTGTACAATGAACCCCCATGACACAAGTTTACCTATGTAACAACCGTGCACTTGTACCTCTGAACTTAAAATGTAAGTAATGTGTCCAGCAGATTATTATAGCAAAATACTGGAAACGGTGCTGGTATCTTCAACAGAAAGATGCATTAATAAATGTAATACATTCATACAATGGAATAATAAACAGCAATATAAATGAACAAACTAAGAAATATGTAGCACAAGTGAATCTGAAGGAAATTATTCATAAAGAAAGAAGCCGGAATAAAAAATAAAAAAAGTAGAATTCCATTCTATAAAGTTCTAGAAGAAGTGAAATAATGTATGAAGAAGAGAGTGTAAGTGAGTAGTCATTTCTGGGCTGTTATTTACTGGGAACAGTTTTATGATTGCAGGAAGTGGATTAAGCAAATGTGTGCCTTTTCAGAACTGCTCTGACTGTGCAAGATATTTGCATTTTATTGCATACAAATTATGTCTCAGTGAAAAATATATTATTCTTCAATTTTTCAGCAAAAGTATCAGATAATATACATTTCATTTTAGAAAATGCATCCAGAAAATAAAGTTGACAAATAACTTTTTAAGTAGTTCTATGTAAATTAGTACATTCCCACAAAGGCAAACGCTTTTCTTATATTCTCTCATCAGATTAACTTAAGCACACATTCTTGCTTAATAGTAATTTTTAGTTAGAGAAAATACATTCACCAAGTATTCTGATGAAATTTAATAGATATGCATAATGCATACATGATATTTGATATGATGCTTATTTTTAAAACAAGTAATACTTCACCAATTGTAGGTTAGAAAAAAAAACTATAATGTGGTGATTCTATACTTGAAGAAAAAAAATCTGTTTCCTTTTCATAAGGGTTGGTAGAACACTTTGTAACATAAAGATATTTACAGTCACGAAAAAATTTCAACTTTAAGAAGAAATCACCAATTATTGTCAAAATAATAATTATGTAGCTATAATGATGTGAGCATTTTTATCTATTCTTTCTAAATGCTTACATGCACAATCTTCATTCAAAGGGAGTTTGAGGAAAGCAGGTGCTCTTTTTAAAAATGACACTGTTAGAGTCACTTCTTCTCCAGCATTCCGAAGAACCTGAACCTAAAAAAAAGAATAAAAAGAATACAACTATCATTACGTTTATCATTTTATATGATGGCAAAGCCTTTAAATTATTGGTTGTTTTTTCCACCTTCCATTTTTCCCTAGTGGTCAGAAGCATTTTATAAAAGATAGAGGGAGGTAATTGTTTATCATTGCAGTAGGAGTCATTAATGTGCATCCTCTTGTCACAATTTGTGATCCCTGTTTATATACAATGTACATCTTCCATTCATACTTATTGAGATCTTCTTGAATTTATAGTCTATATTAGGCAATATGACGAATCATGAAGTCCACAGAAAGACAGATATAATGTTCAGGACACTGTATTTATTAGTAAATATTAATAATTGTTGAACATCTATTATGCACCAATAAATTGAATAAGCTTTGGAGCATCCATTATGCAACATAAAATAGGCTAAGATATAAGAGAAAATTATTCTAAAAGCATAAAAATCTGATTCTGCCAATGTTGACCAGAGTACTAATTCAGATTAAATCAAATTGACCCAATTCACTCTAATCCTCTTGCAAAAAAAAAAAAAAAAAAAAAATTGGCATGACATCTTCTACTTAATATTTTCTTTTCCCTGCAAACCTGTTATTATCAATAGCATCCGTTGTTATATAATGTTGAAGTCTGTTATTATCAATGACTCTCAACATTTTTTAAATTATAGAATAAGTAAGTCTAGTTCTTCCAGTTAAAATAATTTCAATGTCTCCAAAAATCATATCTAAAAATATAAGCATTGTAAAAACTTAAAAATTGTTTAAAAAACTAAAAGACCAAAAAGCTGGAGTTATTTATACCAAATACACCTGAAAAAGATATTAATATATTTATGATTTTAAACTGTCATGTAAAATAAGAAGACAAGAATAATCAGTGAAAAAACAGTTAATAAACATGGAAATATACCTTGTTAAATACACTGAAAAATTGTTCAACCACAAATCATTAAAGAATTGGCTACTTAAAGCCAATTTGCAATGACTTCTGGTCCTGACAAGATGGCACAGATGGCTGGGCGTGGTGGCTGGTGCCTGTAATCCCAATACTTTGGGAGACCGAGGCAGGTGGATCACCTGAGGTCTGCAATTCGAGACCAGGCTAGCCAAAATGGTAAAACCTCCGTCTCTACTAAAAAAACAAAAAAAAAAAAAATTTAGCCTGTCTTGGTGGCAGGCATCTGTAATCCCAGCTACTCGGGAGGCTGAGGCAGGAGAATCATTTGAACCTGGGAGGCAGAGGTTGCAGTGAGCCGACACCACACCTCTGCACTCCACCCTGGGCAGCAATAGCGAAACTCCGTCAATACATACATACATACATACATAATTTTTTTTTTTTAACGGACAAGCTCATCTCTCTCTGCTCCCCTCCAAGAAGTACAACTGTAAACACTGAAGAAAAGAGAAGAGACAACCAAATAAGAACTCTGAAAGACGGAAGGAGAAGGAAAACCTGATTACGGGTCTCAGGACAGCATTGAACAGCACAGACACCGGATACATTACCTGCTCCACCAAACAGAGGAACACCAAACAGGCCGGGCATTTTCTCCGCCCCATCATTAAAACAGACAGCATGCTGGATAGGCTCATACTACCTCTGGATTGTAAGAGAGCCCCACTAATACCAGGCAGGACCACAAACATCAGTGAGTGGTGACAACTGGAAGCCAGCAGAAGTGCTAGCCTTCTCCCTGGGTGTGAGAATACTCTGCGCCACTTACTTCTAGAAGTTTTTATAAGCTTAGACTTTACATTCAGGTGATTGATTCACTCTGAAGTAGTATAGTTATTGTCATGTAAAGGTATACGATCAAAGCTCCTTTTCTTTTCTAATGAGGATTTGAAATTGTCCCAGCACAATTTGTTAAAAAGATTTTACTTTCTTACTTCATTGCAATATGTTGAAAAATAGTTGTTTATTTTTGTTTGACATTATTTCTGGACACATTCTTTAATATATTATTTATACATTATATTATATTAATTATATTACTCATATTATATTATTATTTTATTTTATTTTATCTATGTTATTGATAGCACAATTGTTGATGATTATAGTTTTTATATTCTTAAATCAAATGATGTTGGTGTAAATAGCTTTGTTTTTATTTTCCAAAGGTGGTTTGGTTATCCTGGATTTTTTAAATTTCCACATGAATTTTAGTACAGTTTGTCAATTTTTATTAAAAAGTCTGCCTGGGATCCTCCATATGTCAATTAGAGTAGATAAATATTGAATTTTGTGACACATATATTTAAATGTTAAAAATACTCATAGCAATGTTTTGTTATACAGGGCTTTTAACTACTTTTGTTAGATCATGATACTAATATTTCAGATTTGGTGATTTTATAAATTTTTAAATAGAAATTGCTGATTTTTTATAAAGAAATATAATTCTTTATATATTTATCTTATTTCCTGAAAACTCTGCTAAAAAGATTAGTTAGATTATAGTTCCAGGAGATTTTTCTTTCTTTTTTTTTTGGTGATTCTAGTGCACTTTTTTGTAAGCCATCATGTCATCTGCAGATAGATGCTTTTGTACTTTCTTTCAAATATAGATAACTGCTTTTTTTCTTCTATTAGCCCTGCCTAGTACCTTATGGAAATGTTGACTTAAAGTGTAGATTGTGTGGACACTTCACTTTTCATTTTTTCATAACTCGAACGTCATTAAAGGCCTTTAGA